CCTTAGCAGCAAAGGTGCATTTAGAAGGCTTGCAATATAGTCTATAGGCTCGCAGGCGGTTAAGGACCTTGCGGACTATAGCCTAGTACTCCGCAATATTAGGTAAGTGTATATAAACTAGGATGTTATCTAGGTAAACTATATAGAGGTAATCTAATAGGCCTAATAGGGCCCGATTAATATAGGACTAGAATGTAGCAGGGGCATTAGCTAGCCTAAATAGTATAACTAAGTACTCGAAATGGCTATAGCGAGTGCGAAAGGCTATCTTCTATTTATCGCCCTTACGAATACAAATGCGGTAATAGGCGTCCTTAATGTCTAATATAGTATAGTAGTAGGCACTAGAAAGGCGATCGAGGGTCTTATTAATAAGAGGAAGTGGACAGCGATCTTTAATAGTAATAGCATTAAGCCTACGATAATCGATATAGAGGCGTAGGCTACTATCCTTCTTTAGTACGAATAGGATAGGGGCACTAGTAGGGCTATTACTATACCGAATGCGGCTATTAGCTAGGTTTTCCTCTAGGTACTTACGCAATATAGTAAGCTCTCGCTTACTAAGGTTGTAGAGGGGGCTAAAAGGAACCTCCTTGCCCTCTATAATATCAATCTTATAATCCGTCTCCTTAAACATAGGCAATATCGATACTAGGTAATGTTTGAATACATTAATATAGGTCTCTCGAATAGGCACTAGTATACGTTCGAGCTAATTAGGGTCTATGCTATTAGGGGGTACAGGTTTATCGTTATTACTACCGAGTAGGTCGGTAGTCGGATTAGCTAAGGCGGAGGCTAGTATTAGGTTGCTAATAAACAGGACCCTAATATCATTAGGATACTCGCTAACATTAATATATTTAATGTCCTCTTTCCTAGCGATTCTAAATCGCTATTGTTAACTGCCTAAGTCTATAACTATAGCATAGTACTTAAGAACAGGGTTGCTAATAACAATGTCGGATAGAAGGCTGTCTATATCTACTGCGTAGGTAGTAAAGTTTAGTAGGCGTTCATTTCCGAGGTCGTCTTTTAGAACTATAGGAATATAGTAGGCCCTATAGGTTAAGTGCCGAGCGTTATTAAACTAAGCAAGGGTTAGCAGGTTAGTTTTCGGCAGTTGTCGGAGGTCTAATTGCTTAGCTAGGCGATAGCTAATAAGGGCACTAACTAAATTTCCGAGGTCTAGTATAACCTTTGCCTTATAGTTAGTATCGCGCTTAGATATAAGACAGGTACGTGTAATAGCTAGTACAATGTCGATAGTCTTACGCCGTATAAGGCTAATAGTTAGTGCGGCGCTTACTCTTTTTTCGACTAATTAAAAGAGCCGACTAGGGTAGCATTAGCGGCTAAAAGGTGTTTCCTATACTTAGCGGAAGCACGGTTAATTCGGGCCTAGTCCTTAGGTTTGTCGCATTAGCCTAGTAGATAGCTAGTACTATTATAATTAAAGCACTTCAATCCGGTTAGAGGGTTGCTATAGCCGCTATTGCTACTATTATTAGTTAAGCGATTAGTACTATAGGGATACGAGCCCCTTCTACGGCCCCTATCGCGGCCTCCTCTATATAGCCGGCGGCTACGGCCTCTTCTACGGTTATTGTTACTATTCCTATTATTAGTATTATTGTTATAGTAGGAACCTTAATTTCCTCCGCGGCTACTACGATTACCGCGGTTAGTACTAGCTAGCCGGATCCTCGATTCTAGTCGTTATTAGAGCTAGATAGCTCGTTTGGCTGTTTCTACTTCGACTATGAATTGAATGCGTGTTAGGTTAGCTTGTTCGAATATACGGCGACGGTCCAATTCGAGGATAAGTTCCTATCTAAGTTTTAGGCGTATTTCCGAGATCTATATAGAATTAGTCTTAGGCGGAAGGTTATCCTCGAGGGTCTTTAAATAGGCTTCAAATAAGCGAGCCGATTAATTAGTCTTCTATTTAGCTCGAAGATATAGGTCCTAAGTATATTATTACCTTAGTATAGGGTTTCTAAGGGTATCTAGTATAATAGTTTTATAGGTCTGCTACTAAATAGTAGTCTAGTCGTCGAGGGAGTCGAAATAGTTATCCTATATGCGCTTTAGGTCGCTATTGATATACTATATAGCGTGTACGACTAAGGAATAGTCGTCTAGTAGTACTCTTAGTATATTGCGCTAGTTAAGTTTATAGTTACGAATGTAGTCGTTGTACTGCTTTCGACTAGAGCTATTAAATACAGTATAGTCCTTAAGTTTAGCGTCCTTCTTTTAGATAGGTAGTAAAGAAGGTCCTGCTATTAGCTTAGTAGTAGTTGTTAGAGATTCCTAGAGGCGGCGAATCTCGAGAAGATTATCCTTTAGCTATTGTTTTTAACGCAAGGCAGTAAGCCTGTTTTAGGTAGCCTCTTAAAGCCTCGCTACTAGCTAGGGGCCAAAGGCTAGTTAGCTATATCGACGGTTAACAATATTGCTAAGAATGTCGTTAATAGGCAACTCTAGGTCGTTACCTAGAATTATAGGTTCTTCGGCAGGCCTAGCAGTAGGCTCTTTAGTAGGAGGCACTTTAGCAGGTGCTCTAGTAGGCACTTTAGTAGGAGGCGCTTTAGTAGGCACTATGCCGCTAGCGTTGTCGTTGCTGGCGCTACTAGCGGTAGTACAGTTGTTGTTTCGTAATAAACTAGCTATTATAAGGGGCGATACTAATAATATATTATTAGCCCCTAAGATGCGGGTATAGCGGAATTAGCGAGTATCGTTCTAATATGCTTGACTTAGTGTAATAGGCCGTATAGAAGGCCTTGCTTGATAATTGGTATAGTTGTTTTAATAGAATAGTACGTATAGGTCCCGTTCTTCGAGCGCAATATAGTTAAATCGATAGTTTTCGTAGCTATACCGCTAAAAGCTTGAAATAAGGACTATCTAGCTACTGCCCTTAAAGGGTGGATCGAATACTATATAAGAAGGGTCTGTTAGCAGGTAGATAGGGTAGTAGTAGGTATAGGTAGTATTCGATAAGGAGCTAGGAGGAGAGGGAGGAAGGTAGGCAAGTTAGCCTATTGCTAAGCGCTAAGCCCTACCTAAGGTACTAAGACCCTAGCTTTACTTAGCCTAGTTACATACTAATCACGTATAGCCTCTTTAGCCCTAACAGCCGGAAGGGTTAAGAGAGGGTAAGGAGCTACGGGTCGGATTCTTCTAGTAGGTACTCGAGATACCGCTATTTTACGACTCGGCGGAAATGCGAGCTATATAGAAGACCTATATCGACGAGGACTTCGACCTAGTTACTATCGCTAATATAAGCAAGAAACAATAGCAGGAAGAGTTCAAAACAAAGGCTAGTATAAGGTATAGGATAAAGGAAGCAATCGAGAAGTTCCTAATACTAGAGGCCGATAAGATTATAGCGGCGGAGCTAGCCGGAGCTAAGGATACTATATAAAGTGCGAATTTAGGCTTTACTTCTTATAGTACTATATAACGTTAATACTATTATTTTTTGTAATTATTGCAGGCGCGGACTAATCAGACTAAACACATCTTATATATTAAATATCTAGTATAGTATTGCGTTGTATATTAAGATTTCCTTTTTATATAAAAGCTTAGAATTCGAACATTTATAATACTTCTTAGGCTCGAGCGCGCTAGTCGTACTAGCGCACTTGCCGCGAACATTACGTTATTAGTCCTATTCTTCTTTAGATTCTTCTTCGCTATCTATATCCTTATTCTACTTACTAATCGACGCTAGCGGCGTATATATATACTAGTTATACTAAGTAGACTCTTCCGGATCGAGACCTATTAGATCTTATACGTGTCCGGCGGCACTAACGAAGCCCTCTTTAGAAAACGCGAAATCTAGGCAGTAGACGTTATATCCGGTATATTCGAAGAGTTTCTACGCCCTTAGCCCTTAATATCGCTATAGGTAATAATATAAGAAGTCGCCGAAGTTTAAGAAGCATTCTACGTCGCGAATGTGCCTTTTAATATAGCACTTTAAGCAGTTAAAGGTCTATTCGATAGGATTCAAATCCGGTAAGTACGGAGGCAAGTATTCGAGTTAGTAACTAGCTAACAATATCGCCTCTCTTACCTCCGAGCTATAGTAGATGCTAGTATTGTCTATTATAAAGATTATCGGCGGATAGCCTTCGAGGTAAGGTATTACCTACTTAGTTAACTAAGCGACGAAGATCTCTCGAGTTATTAAGCCTTATCGACTAATCGTATAGGGTAGATATCTATTAATAGTAAAAGCGGGCAGTATAGACTATCTTACTTCTCGCTACGCGTACTAGAAATCTCTATAGTTAATGCCCTTCGGAGACTAACTATACTTCCGCTAACTAGTCTTCTAATTATAGGCAGTCTCGTCGATAAAGACTAACCTATCTACTAGCTATTTAGCGCACCTAAATATCTATAGAGCCCTTAGCAATAGGTTGCGCTCCTTCGCCTTCCTTTATACCGATTTACGCCTCTAACTACGCCGCTTTAAAACACTCGATAAATGCGTGTATTTTAATACCTCTTAAAGCTCCGGCTACTTGTCGATAAGCGCCTATATTACCTCTACGAAGTACGAGTCCGGTCGCTTAGATAACAACGCCTTAATATATATCTCTTGCTTATTATTAAGAATAGTCTTATAGCCTCGCTTTATAATACAAGGAGAGTAGATCTCGCTAAATAACCGCTAGTTATCGAGCGCTCTATATACCGTACGCCTATAGATAGGTAGTCGACTTATCTCTATAGTTTAATAGACATCTTTGCCTTATACAAAGCAGTCCTTTAGCAACTCTTAGTATTCTACGCTAAGCTCTTTACCTAGACGCATTCTTTACCTCGCAATACCTTAGAAACGGCTATACTACTGCTTTATAGCGACAACTTTGGCTTCAAAATGCACTATATACGTAGGTACGTAGAAGAGAGGAAGATATACTATTCTACGAGCAAAGTACCTAACAAAATTGGTAGCGGTAAGCTGCTTAGCACTCGCAGGCTTCCCCGCGGCCGAGTGACAGGTAAAAGCCAACCCTCAGTATTGAAGGTCCGCTTGAACAACTGAAGATGCCCGCGGCAGCTGCCTGGTGGAGGGCGGTCAAGGCCGTCCAGCTTTCCGCAACTTGATCAGAACTCAGTATGGACTCAGACTTCAAAGAAGGTTCTTCTCCGCGCTCTGGCATTTGCCAGATGGACGATGAAAGAGGAGTCGCATCAGCTGGAAGTGGTGCAAGTCACAGCGACACGGTGCCAGTGAGCATGGATCAAGACCCAGCGGCCACCGACAAGTTTCAAAAATTGAGCAAAAGAGCCTGGCAGACTCGCGATTCGAGATTTCACCCTTCGAAAGAACAGATTACTACACATTGATCTGAGCCAGTAACGGCAAAGGACGCTGGAGCAAAGAGGAACAAGGTCGAACGGGGAGCCTCTAGCCTTTTTATAACTTCACAAAGCAGGCTGGTCACCAGTGCTGCCTGCGATCCTGCTTTGAGTCATGCCTGATACAACTACATTGCACATGGCACTCGACTCAATAGGCCCCCGTTGTGCATTGAATTCCTGATGATCTCTACGTTCGACATGTCGCGCAACACAAAAATGTGTTATTACCATCTTGATCGGATTTGTGGGCGGATTGTGGCGCCGACATGTAAAAAATGCAAAATTCTTGTGCCAAAGGGCGAAAGAGGACAAGGTGGTATGTATCAGGATCCAAGTGGCAAGATGGTCTACAGTACACTTCCCACTCAAGATGACCAGAAGCAGAGCTTCATCGTCTCGCTCGAGCAGCTTTATACCGTAATAGGCAATGCCGCCCTCACGGACTTAAGCACTGAGAGACTATGGACGCCTGACTATTAGACTTGTCAGTTGTGATCGCAATCGATCATTCCGAGGGCATTCTTTTCCCAATATTGATCGACTCCGTCGGACATACGACTCCAACCTCCAACAAGAAAGTGCCTAGAAGTCTCAACGCAGCATAAATAACCAACGGATCTCAGCGACAGGGAAGCCGTACGCTCAACACCAGCTTTGCATGATACTCCCTCCATCTAATATGGCCAACAAGATAATCCCAGTTACGGGTGCCAATCGAGGCATCGGTTTCAGCATCGTTCAAGCTCTAAGCCAACGCGCCTCAAACGTTACCTTGATTGTTGCCGCACGAGCCTACGCCAAAGCACAGGATGCTGTTGATCAGCTTCGAAGCCAGGGAGTTCCGATCCCATTGCAACCGCTCGAGCTTGACGTGAGTCAAGATGACAGCGTACTCAGAGCAGTGAACTTGGTAGAAGAGAAGTATGGTCGTCTTGATGGTATGTAAGAGTTTGCATACGCAATACTACTGTTCAACGGCGATCCTTTCGGATGAGCCTGCGTTACAGCACAAATTTTTCGTGTCAATTCCGCGCGCAACCCATGATCACGAGATTTGGCTGACGAAGTCTTCAAAAACCAGTCCTGATCAACAATGCCGGCGTCGCACCTACATCACCGTCAACGGACATCGCAAACTTTCGGGCCTCGTGGGCTACTGTTCTGGACACAAACGTCACTTCTATTGCTTTAGTTGCGACCCTTTTCCTTCCACTTCTGAGAGCATCTGACGATCCCAAGGTCCTCAACGTCTCTTCGGCCCGTGGATCCCTAGCGCTTGTAACGAGCGGCGCAAATCCGCCAACAGACAAGATTGCGTACAGCGTTTCCAAGGCGGCGCTCAATCTCTTGACGATCGAGATGAGTCACTCGCTTCCAGAGCTAGAATGGCAAGTGGTGAGTCCAGGATGGTGTAAGACAGCGTTCAACGGGTTTCGAGGCCCAAAGGATCCTCTCCAAGGTGCTCAGGTGCTCGTCGAACTGGCATTGGCAGCTAAAGGGCAGTACGAGAATGGATTTTGGCAGTTCGAGGATGGAACGATGGAGAAAGTGCCATGGTGAGGCGGCGTATATCGAATCGCCGGGCGGGATGAATGCGTTCTTTCGTGTCTATAGTGCATGCTTGACATCGTGATGGTTGCCATTCAGCATACCAAAACTGTCGACCCTTCGACTTTTCCTCCCCCACACCTCTTTAGCCCATTCGCTGAGCTGGTAACACCAGCCGCCTGCGACTAGCAGTCCCGAAACCACGTTCACGATTCTGATGAAAAGGGCTGGAAACGAACTCCATTCCTCGGCGATGGTGAGGCCAATGGGTTCCATGTCGAATTTGATGAAAATGCCAGGAACAAAGTTCTCGGATACCTTACGTGACTGTTCTGTTACTGCGTATTGGTTCGTAAAGACGAAGTTGCTGTTGTGCTTGAGCGGATGCACTCCAAGGCCGTCCTCGCCCGAAGAAGGCGATTCATGGTACTTATCCAGCAAGCGAAGTGCTCTAGCGTCCGTGGTATAGACGGTGGGGACGACGGAAAGAAAGTATTGGAATTTGTAGTAGTTGATATCAGTGGTCGCGAATGTGTTGTCAAGGGGGTTTTCCAAGGACGGATAGAATGGTCCAAAGGAGAGCTCGTTGATGCGATGCGAGAAGTTGAACTCTTGAATCAGTGTTAGCGTTCTCGATCAATGAAACTGGTAAGATTGTCGGACGCTTACTGCTGTGGTCAAGATGTTCGGCGAATTCCAAATAGCCATGCCCTCGAGCTGTGATGTGGAAATCGCCTTGGACCTTGTTGCCATGCATAGTGCCGTAAATCCTGCATGAATCCGCAGTCCATCCTCGAGGAATCTTGGGCGTCTTGGGAAATCTTTTGGAGTGATGCGCAACACTCAAATAATTGTGTACGTCCTCCTCTTTGTAGTCTTTCCCTGCTTCACCCAGTCGCTCCTGCTTATCGTGACCGAGCGCGTGTGCCTTGAGTTTCTTGTCCCATCGCGTCCATATGGTGGGGTCTTTCTGGAAGACAGAGCCTGCTAAAATGCGATCGCCCGCTGCGTCTTGCACGTTCACATGCAGGTCCTCGCAGTTCATCATCACGACCATGTCCAGGTTGATTTGCAAATCATGGCCAATGCCTTGCTCGACGGAGAAGGTGTGCGTTGTCGAGCCTTTCCACCATCGTGCCAGCTCGCTCCAAGTGAGAAAGAGCGATGCAAGAATCAGCGTCACTGTCCATATTCCACCGGTCGACGTCCGCTCCTGATATGAAGGTTTGGTCTTGGGAAATGCATCGAATGCTTTGACCGCGCTCAGAGCCTTGTTCTCGCCGAAGTTGTCCTCGTCCAGGCCTTTTTCCGTGAAGCCATTCATCGTATGTGTGACAGCTGAGGTGACGATATCAGTCTGTCCGAAGCCAGGCAGGGCTTATTCTCGCGGTATCATTGAGTGTCTTCGCGTTGACTATGGCGATCCTGAAATCAACCAACGTGGACACAGGACAGCTTGCCATTGCACACGCGAGCCTCCAAGGGTCCGATGCCGACGGCAAGCCTCAGCCCTGCAGCTTGCATGTGTGCCGCAACCTTAACTATCTTTTCTCACATGCTTTTAGATCTTCTGCTTCAACCATCTGCACGTCCTAAATCATGCCTAGCCTCCCTGAGAGACGCGCCTCTCACTCCTCATCTGTAGAGCAGATGTACTACTCCGTAGACTTTGACTACATGATCATTGCAAGGGCATCACACTCGAATGAGCTACGATCCCAACTCTATATTTAGACTATGATATCGACATATCGGCGGACGAGCTGATCACAAAGTCATAGACGCGGAGCCGTGAACTCCTTCCTGTATTGAGATCATTTGCTGATACTGTGCTCCTTTCTCTGTCTGCCCCATGATGCGATCGTCATCATCTCCAGTTCCCTTGGCTTAACGATAATAAGCCGTGCACACAATCAAGATCATCATCGCGCGATGCCTTAGCAACTTTCCTGCCTCTGCCCATGAACGCAGCTAGCTCTGGATCAGCTTCGGGGTCTGTTCGATCTTCAACTAAATGCTTTGAGCTTCCTGACCGCCTCGTTGAATTTCTTTCTGGATTTGAGAATCGAAACTCGGAGGGATCGTTTTGAGGCGACCAATTCTCCTTGTCTGACTCGCTTCGCTTGAGGCCCAGAGATCGCGCTTGAGCACCTCGCGCTTCGTGACTGTCTTGGAGTCTTGCAGACGCAGTAGATGATCGCTGCACAGTCGATCGCTTAAGCTCGTGCTTTTGGCGTTTGTTAGAGTCGAGGCGTGTCTGGTTTTGTTTCCATGACATTGTCCCCAGGACGCTCCGGCCGGATGCATTCCTAAGCAGACCAATGGCGCCCGTAGCAGAGCCTCTGGCATCTCTCACTGCTGCAGTCTCAAGCTCATTCCGGGACTCTTTGTCGCACCAGAACTCCCAAGACCGTGAGTCCTGTGAACGACCACTGAATGACCTTTTCAACCCATTGAACGGCGCTAAACTATGCACATCTTCCGAAGCCGACGTATCATCCGGTAGTCTGTATTGCTGCGACCGGGGCGGTGATGGCGACGAAGCATCTTTGGTCGTGACCATAGCCTTACCTTCGGAATCCATCGATAATCGTATTTGCGAGGACGATTTTCTAAGCTGTCTTCGTGCTGCTGGCGCCGGAGGCGGCATGCACTTCACAGAAAGGCTGCGTTGTAGCGATGACTCGCTTCTCCTGTGCGCCAGGTAGCCAATGGTCGACGAGGACTCGTGGGCTGAAGCTGACGATGTCCTACTGAGACCGGTCGACAATCGCCTCTCTGACGGCCCACGAAGCTCTGAAGTCACCGTTGCCGCCTCCCGGTCGGTCACGATAGCGCCGTCAGTATGTTCTTGCCACCGACCCGCAACAGAACACAGCTCATCGTTTCGAGGCCCATCACTAGCATCGGAAGCGGGAGAACTCCCGCCAGCCTCAGCAACTACTTCAAATTGTTGCATCAAACCAGTCCCGTCTTCGAGGCCTTGAGTACTTGGCATCGCTACACCTCGAGAAAGCTGATACTGCGCAATTTCGTGCGGCAAAAGGGGACGAGACTTCCGTCGAGAACTTTGCCTACGGTTCTGAAACCAGATCTGCGTTAACATTATTGTTAAGATAGCGTTCGTGATTGAAGTGGCAGGTAGTGCTACAAACCTGAACTTCCTTCTCGCCCAAAGAGGTCTGCTTCACGAGCTCTAAACGAGCAGCTTTGTCAGGTTTCGGATCGTTCTTGTATGCTGCCTCCAGTATCATCTGGTCCTGAGGACTGGAAGAAGATTAGCGCTTAAATTGGGTGAGATATGTCTAGTGGTAGCATACCTGGTCCGTCGCCGTTTCTGGCGGCAGAAGCTCCTGTTGTCGAAGCTTTGCTGAGTTGCGCCATCGGTGTCGCTGGTCGAGCTGTCCAGTGCATGAGGTGTATTTGATGAGTAGGGGAGATTCGAAGACGCTGTCGAGCCATCCATGTCGACTGGTGAGGTGCGTCTACTTTGTTGTCTGTGCTGTGCTGTGCTGTGCTGTGCTGTGCTGTGCTGTGTATTGTATTGTATTGTATTGTACGTTGAGTTGTGAAGCAAGCACGCGTTCGGAAGACGCGTCGGGAGCGCGCGCACGGTTCGAAGAGAGAGCCCGTGTCGCTGCTGCACTGTACTGCCGACATCTGAGCTCCATGGTCCGCGACGACACACTCCATCTTTCAACACCACCGCGGCCTCCGGACATCGCTTGCAGGAGCCCTACTGCATCGGCAAACAACAAGTCGACAGCGGCGGCTGCCATGTCGCCGAGGAAATCCGCACCGCCAAAATGTGCCAAGCATGCAATAGAATATCGCGCATCGAATGCGTTGTCACCTGATCCGCTTTGGGCCTAGGGATCGACATGCGAAACCTTACATACAATGTAAGGTAGGGTTATGCCATGTAAGCTTACAAAACCATGTAAAATGGCATGTAAGGTTGTAAGACCAGTGATTCTGGCCATTCTGCCTATGTCGAAGTTATAGGCCTTGCTGACTGTCTTGAATAGCTTAACAACCTTCCTAGAGCAATCTTAGATCTCGAAAGTCCTTCCAAGACTATAAAAGACTGGTTACTGTTGGTTTCTAGACCTAGACAGTCCCCTGCTGAGAATTCCTTCTAGAAGCCTTAGCAGTCAACATGGTCTGAATGGGCTCCTACAGCCACAAACCTGTCAAGATAGCAGGTAAGAGCCTCCAAATTGCCTATACCTCCTTGGCAAGACCTACAGAAGCCATTCCGTAAGGCAGAGATACAGACAAGCCGTGTGGGTCTAGATAATGGTCCAACATACAAATTGTAAGGCCATACAAAGCTCAGATCCCTGCCTTACATTAGGTTTTGTAAGACTTACATGTAAATGTAGAACCCTATTTGGGCCGAGCAGACCGCTGCATTGATGTCAGCCTGATTATTGTTTTACGGGAGCGCAGCGCCACGTCGTGGACCGTGGACGTTATAGTGGAAGGATTTGCGCTCCAGCTCGGCCTGCCCTTCTACTGGCTCGTTGCAGGCTCCAACTCCGAGATGTGCCATGTCAGACGGCCAAAACTTCGACCAGTGCATGTCTCAGACCTCAAGACGTCACGACACGGCATTCGGGAGTGATTCTTTGACTGTGCTGTCTGGGATGACTCGGTATGCCGTTGCAAATGCTCTCCGATAGAGCACAATTGCCGAGTTCATGAAGACGTGCCTGCAGAACCACTTGGATTCATACTTCATCACTGGAACCTGTTGATGGCGTCCAAGACCTGCGCGGCGCGTACGTAGACATTCGTCGATTCTGTTCCCATGTCCACCAGAGTGGGCCACACCAGAAGACACTTGCACGTGCATCAAGCTTTTGATATCGGCAAGAGTGCATGCGCTGTCTCTTTTGACAGGGGTCTTTAACAAGCTGCACTCATTTATCTGCGGCCTTGGGATCACTACTACAGTGGCGATCGAGGCATATGAACTCAACCACGAGCTGTGCCGCAACCGGTATGCGGGAGCTTTCACAAGCTAATCGCTGGACTCGATGCTCTTTGGTCGTTGCATCTTGACCGGTGAACGTGCTGTCAAAGCTCATTGCTACGAGTTCGTCGCTGCACCCATGTGGAGGTTCACAAAGCATGAAAAGGTTGGTGCAGAACCCTGAGAACCATCTAACGAAGGCCTGGCACTCGCGGAATGGTCATCCACGAAGCATAACTATTGAAAGTGCAATGTGGTGTTACATTTGTAGAGTACATCTACATTCTTTTCACCGCAAGCGCAAGCTTGTCTGCTTCACCGGATTGGCGCGGTATAGAGCAACACCAGCAGACTTCAGCAACACGGCATTGCTGGTGTGCGCGGCGTTATGGCTAAAAGTGCCGTCTTCTGAGGTCTAAGCCTGCATCAATTTAAGGATCATTCGAGACTGGACCGCGCTGGATCCCATCGAGACCCGTTGACCGTAGCGCCCTTAACTGGATGAGCCCCGGATGCTCGTGAGCCTATACATGGTCAAACAAAGCAGCGGCCCGACAGCACCTGAGGAAAGCCTTGACTAGCATCTGCTCATCTAGCGCTCTGTAAAACGCGTGTTCAACGTGGCTACACTGCCGTCTTTGGACACGGCGGTCAGACATTCGAGTTCTACCTTTTCCTTTCTAAGCAGATCCTCTGCTTGCGTGCCATATCTTGGATTCTGGACTTTCCTGCAGCAGTACTCTACCGGTGACCAGTGCCTTCGCCATTCCCTCCAAAGATGATCATTCTTCAGCAACGCCCAGCCCCAAGCAGTCATAGACCATCACCGGCATCTGACTGGCTTGCGCACGCCTGAGTTCCATCATAGAAGCATCGAGATCTCTGACATTGCAACGCAACGGACCTTGTCACTGAGGAGGACAAGTTTATGGTGGCTGTTGACCGAGACTGCGATCTGAACGAAGGAAAGCACAACCAACAGTCGCGTTGTTCGAGCTCAAAAATGTCAACAATGAGGATAGCGATCGCTGGCACCGGCGGACTAGCGCGTTTGATTGCGCATTACGTAGGAGTTGAGACTACGCATATGGTGGTTTTTCTGTCGAGAAGTGTACACAATGAGCTCAGGACAGCTGATGACTTGCATCAAGTACTAACACAATTATAGCAACAGCCACAACTTGCAGCCGCTGGCTACCAGGTAGCCGTCATCGATTACGGCGATATTGATACGCTACGATTCTCCCTTCGAGGAATCGATACGATCATCTCCACGATATCAGGTCCGAACCAGATCGAGCTCATCAAAGCAGCCGTTCAAGCTAGCGTGCGTCGATTCGTACCTTCGGAATTCGAAGGTCTTCCTCAACTACGCAATGCAAACGATCCACTAGATCGTAGCAGGACCGCTGCCCGTCAATTGCTCGCTCATTATTCGCAACGCATTCAATCGACCGCGTTCGTTTGCGGAATATTGTACGAAAGATTCCAACCAGGCGGTCTTGCACAATCTCGAATAGGAGCCAATTCCGGCCTCAGCGCTGAAGGTAGCTACATTCTGAACTTGCGTACCATGACAGGTTCGTTGCCACTTACAACCGTGTCCCCTAATACGGGCCTTATACCGACTTATCATAACTCGGAGCTTCAGGACAAGTGCCCGCGTACGATGCGAACAACAACCCCACCGCCATGATCTGCATGACGGCTGCCCAAGATGTCGCGCGCTTTGTAACAAAGTCGCTAGAACTACACACCTGGCCGCCTGAGCTACGCATGTATGGCCAAAGGGTTCTGGTGAAAGATTTGGTGCTGCAGATACAGCGCTTGAAAGGTGCGTTTCATCCGAGTATTCAAGACCATTACAACACTTTGCTGAATCCTCTATCTGAAGGAGCACCTTTCTCCATTCAGTGGCATAGCCCTACCACTCTGCGTACAGAGCTACTTGAGGCCGCCGCTCAGGGCGATGTACCAAGACAGCTTCGACTGCGCGCATTGCTTGATACTGCAGAAGGTCGATACGATTTCACCCAGCCAAACCTCAACCAGCATTTCCGTGACGTACGGCCTCTTGATTTCGAAATATGGCTCACAGCGAAATGGGGCCTGTAGGACTGCAGCTCTTCCAAATTTTATTTGGTGTCCCTTGCACGAGCGGTTGATAAGACACCAACAGAAGAAGCACAATCCCGCGATTTCACCCTGTGGCAAGATGGGCACGCTTTACAATGCAAGATTTGGCACGCCAACCGCGCGCGGAAGCTCATCTCAAATCTTCAGACAATCTGGCGCTTGTCCAAAATCTGCGCCGTCTCTCCTTGACTGACTATAGAGACAAATCAAGCGGTGGAAAATCCAGTAATACGCCACCTTTCCACCACAGTGCAACACCATAAGCCAGTATCAACGACATGTGCTGCCTCCATAAGACGTCTATGACATTGCTCACAGTCAAAACATGAGGTTTAGGGCGAGAAGTAACTCCAGCGATGATCGTATCTCGAAGAGTCCAAGAGCCGCGAGCATACTTTCCTGCGTCGACATCGCAGCTGTGCTGTATACGCAAAGTCTAACTGCTCCTATCATCATGCGTGGCGTTCGGCGAGCTGAACTGCCTGCCCTATGCAATTCATATGCGAAGCGCATGCACGTGCATATGTACTCCTAGGAACGGGGAAGCATGAAAACCTACGCCGCCAGCGTGTCAGTGGTTTTTCTTTTTTTGCATAGCTCGTTGTAACGTAGCTCGTGGCTATCTCCCATCAGACCCTTGCTAAGAGCGCACGAGCCACTGGTTTATTTATAAACCAACACCAAGGGGCTTCGTATAAGTCGGCATTGCATAGCTCGTTGTAACGTAGCTCGTGGCCATCTCCTATCAGACCCTTGCTGGGAGCGCACGAGCTACTGGTTTGTAAATAAACCAACACCAAGGGGCTTCGTATAAGTCGGCACCTCGATGCTAAACCGAGCCCCAGCTGGCCGGCCGAGCCCCAGCGACCAATCAATGTCTCGTCGATATACGTTAAAGACCTTCAAACCCTCGCTAACAGCGAGGATGGCAACGTTGGCCCTGCGGCCCGCTCGAGTACCGGCGACGCTTCGGAGGGCAAGCCTCCTGCGCCGGCACGTCGCTCCTTGCTTCTATAGACAGAGAGGAGTATTATTCGAGGCGTTGTATAGCGTGAAGCTGTTGTATGCTGAAATCCTAAATCAAAAGTTCGGGTTATGCTAGGGCTCGGTCGGCTAGCTGGGGCTCGGTTTAGAGTCTAGGAAGTCGGCATTTTGTCGTCTGTGACTCCTTATTTTAAGAATAGGAAACCTGAGGGCCTGCTCTCGATTTGACTAGTACAAGCATATGCCTGCTACTATTGAGGATGCAACTTCGAGATGTTACTATCGACTAGTGCCTTGCATTGCTTAGGTTATTAATAATAAGTACCGCACAAGTCGAGCCCTTTCCAGGGATACGTAGAGTCTCGGTCTCTACTACTATTACTAGATAATTTTAGTTTCGAAATTTGGGCTACCCGAAGCTTATAGCTAGGCCTGTCGAAGCCTTACGAACTCTACGAAGGACGAAAAAAAGAATCGGGTATTTGAAATGGACTGTTAGGCGAAGAGCTTAGAGGTCGGTATGAATTTCGGTTGTTGTTATCGAAGTTAGCTATACCCTGTATTAAATCTAACTTTAAACCCCTAGAAACACTCTAGAGTCTAGACCGGTACCTATTGTATAATATAAAAGGAACGTTTCTGTCTACCTATTAAGTAGTAGATCAACACATCTATCTACCTAACCCCAACTGGACGGTTCAAGTTTCGCCTTTAAGTATCGACGGTGATACTCGGCCTTACATCTTTGCGACAATCAACCAAGAGACTCTTCGACGAATTCGACGTAACTTAGGAAACTCTTACGACAATTTCAACAAATATGCATTTCGCAGTTGTCTTTGCTGCCATTCTCCCAGCAGCATATGCCAATTATTTCAAGATATACGCAGGGTACGATTGTCTAGCGAATTACCATGGTAATACCAAAGTAGGCCAGTACGACTTTGGAACCGAGGAGCCAGGCTTCGTTAGTAGATGTTACAGCGTTTCTCCTAGCGGAAATTCGGTCGATATACACTTCGATCGGAGCGAGAATTGCTCCGTATATCTCTACAACGACAACAGATGCGGCGACCAAATCTGGTACTACAGGGGAGACCACCCGCCGTTTGAAATAAACGGCTGCTATAATCTTGGCACGACTGCCGCCATTAATTCCTACAGACTTAAATGTTGGTGAGGCGAGCAAGGAATCAAGTTGTCTTGACGGACGAAGACGTGAGGCTAGGCGACCAAGACCAAGCCAAGTAACCAAGTAAACGGTCGACTGGTCGAACGGACTCGAACACAGTGCCAAGACTGGCACAGTTACCTTTGTATTTAGATGCTTTTAATCCGAGCGAAGTGAAGCGAAGGTGTTGTCTGTTTACGAGCTGAGTGGAGGAACAGCCAGAATTTGTGTACCTAACATCACGTTCACTTGCATTCAATAGAGTCAGTCGGAATCTGAGATCGGAGAGATATCTTTCCATGCTGCTATTCTGTATACCGGTAGTGACCTATAACATCATGTTAGCCATGGTATGAGATATCGGCCCGGAAACGTCCTACCTTCTGGCCATGCTGCAAAGACATCTTGAACGCGATGGGCTCTATATGTTTCTGAATATGCCGCTATACCACGATGTGCATGTCAAGTGTGGAGGTCTGGAGAGTTCAATTTCGTTCAGAGATGGATGAATAGAGATGTCCTGCAGGAACAGAAACATCTCCAATGTATATGTGTTTGCATCACCCACGCGAGCAATTGATGGTGACGTAACTTGAGTCGTGCGAGTAGCATCATATGCAGGGTAAATTGTGGATATCAGTGCTTTTGGGCTGGTCCACAGGGTTTTCTTGAAAAAGTAAAGCGATGCTCATCTGTTCTGCAGAGATGGCTCCTATGAAAAGATTTCCCGTCCACAAAGATCGGCTGACCTGACGCCGCGAGTCTTCGTTCCTCGCCAAATTCGTTCGAAACACAGTTTCATAAACCAGAGTCCTCTGCGGACAGTCCTACCCATCTCGTGCTCCAATGTCCTTCCAAACACCAGTAATCGTAACGCCAACGTACGAGCAAGGGGTATCCTTCGCAGTCTTAAATCGCAGTGCAGTCCCAATAAGAAAAGTCTAGAAAGTCCAAGTCTGGTCTTGTAGCGCTTTATCCCATTATGCGCTTGCATCTTCAAGCTCTCCCCTTAAAGCATTACAACGATCCTCGAAGCCAGAAATGATATCGCGACATTGTCCGCTACACCACCTGCTTTTGAGCTTCTCGTCCCAGTCAGTCTTATGAAGCTCGTGGCGTGCGAGTTCGGTCTTTTCTCGCTCTCGCCGCAGGTCAACAACCATCTCCTGAGTGATCCGTAAATGCCTTGTAGCGGTATTGGTAATTTGCTTGCCCATCTGCAGCGTGTCTGTCAACTGGGTCAGAGTGTGAACGACTTCGGCTGTTTCACGGTCCAGTTTCTGCAATTTCTGTACAGGCAACATATTGGGTTGCGGTATGATCTTGACTAGGTTCTCGACCAGGGGTATGGTTTCCTCGAGCAAGACGGGGTCTAATGTTGACGAGAACAAAGGGATCAAGCTCTGACCGAGGGTCTGCAGAGTCTTCGCCTGAGTGCTCAAATGCGAGCTCAGGCTGTTGGAGGATGTGGTGAGCCTCTGTGCAGATGCTTCGAGGCTGGTTTGATTGCCCAGATCCTGTAGCTGTGCGATCGTTCTGGGAATGAGTGGATCCTCGGTAGTGGAGGTATAGCTGGTCATACGCGCAATGCTGTTCATGAGATCTTCCATGTCCGACGAGAACCTGTCTCCGCTTTCCGTGTCGTCGTTGTCGTCGCCTATAGGTGACGTTCCGTCTATGAACGGTTTTGAAAAGTTCCGGACATGCTTCGCGCCCTCCCTAGAGCGACCATTTTCCGATTGTGCATGAGCATAGCTGACATCTATGCCGCTGTCGCGACTCTGCTCCTCAGCATCGCCTTCTTGTATGTCTTCGGTCACACCTTCCTCAAACTCATCCTCTGCATCCAACTGGTCCAGCTCGTCTGCCAAGTTCCCGAGACCACCGCCTCCATTGCCGCCGCCACCATCGTCGCCATGCGGACTGAACTCGCCCGACAGCTGCGAAGCGTTGCTGAAGCGGTGCCGTGACTTGGGCGTGATCGGGCTCCGGTCGTGGTTGGAGGAGAAGCTGCTGGTTCTACGGTGCAGATGTTGTCGGTAGGAAAGCGTCGGTGATGTGTCGATGGGCGACATTGTGTATGTGCGGATTGGCGTCAGAGGCGGACTCGTGGTGGTTGAGTCCATGTCTGCTGCGGCGGATGGTGTTACTGTGTGTGATTACATGTATGCAAGGAGGTCTCGATGGGTTCTCGCGTCTGAGAAATAATAGTTGTCTGGTCTGGGTCGGTCCCTGAGCGCCGTTTCGGTCGCAGCGTCGGGAGGCAGGCACGCGTGTAGATCTTCGGCAATCTCGGCTCGGCCAGCAGCAAGCGTGAAGGTCATGAATTTGTTGCATAGGTACATGTAGCATCTGACCTGACCTAGCATTCTCCATTCCCTCCGCCGTACCATCCACTCGCATGCTGTGACGCGTGTGCTTCAGGCTCTGCGGCGAAGGCATGGGTCCCCCAGCTCGCCATTCTTTATTGCAATCTTGACTGCCGGAGTGGAACATGTCATCATCAGCACTGTGCTGTCCACTTCCACGAGACGAAACTCACTTCGACTTGAGCACGAACTGTCTCCTAACTCAGACGCAATTCGCAACGAATCTCGAGCACAACTCCCCCGACGAAAACATTCTCCAGTAGTGATATGCCGGACAGCAGAGCCTCGAAGACAGCCATAACGCTCGCCTCCTTGGCAGGGTTCTTCGTGATTCCGTATTCGATTCGGAAAGCCGCGGTATACTCGCGAGAGCACAGCGAGAAGAAAGCAGTGAAGAAAGTCGCCAATGGCAATGGCAAGGCAGATGAACAATCAAGTGGCTACTCTACCCCGCCAGAGATCAATTATGCCTTCTAAGCAGCATCACCGGAGCAACAGCATCTGATGGCGATAGGTTGTCAAATGGCGGCAAAGTGATATCTCTGGATCACTGCCGATTAGGATAAGCTTTCGGTCATACAGGTGAGCAAGTATCTGACCCATAAGAGATCTCGGCTAAAGACAGATTTTCAGGATCAATCACTGCCATTGTGCATTCCGATCCGGCATATGTCTCACACCTTAAGCCATCTCGAGGATTAATGAAATACGGCTCACGATAGATTTGAGCAACACAACACAGGTTCGACATGTGATTCTCGAATTGCTTGATTCGTGTACTGCTCTACGTGACCTAATACATGCCTCCCCACGGTCCATTGATCGTCTCGCATTGATCGTACAAATGAGCAGGCCTCGCCTGTCCTCACTCTGTCATGCTGCGCCTATCGCAGCGCGGCCTCCAAGATTCGAGGGCAACACGTTGTACAAGAAGTGAATGCCACCCGTCTTGAATTGTCATCCCGTCATTGCACTTGAAAACACATATGCATGTCCCATCCCAACTTGTTGCTCGTGACTGCCGAAGAAATGCGCCTGCGCTGCTTCGCAGGCTACCTGTATTCTTGTGGAGCTTGCTCCTTCTCGACCTCGAATTCATTGCCCAGAGCGCCAGCATACAACCAAGAAGAAATGCTGATCATGAAGAGTGTTCGGCTGATGCAGTCCTATCGACCCCGGAAACGTCCCGTCGTCTTTTCCAGAACTTTAGACCTCGCAATCGACTGCGACTGCGCGATTCTCGCACATGTGGTTCGGACTTTCGTGGGTCAAGCCTGGATGTTGCGGAATCACCACTTGCCATCCGTGCTATGATGCGAGGCGAATCAGATTTTGTTGAGTGAATCAAGGGAAGGTCTGGGGGCGTACTGGGTAACGCAGAAGGCGCAGATGAATGATGTGCGCCATCCAGGCTGTCTGACCAGCTACCTGTGGCGATGAACGGATCTGATCTCGCAGCTGGCGCCAACGAGAACGGGCCGTGCTGTAGCCCGGCCTGCACGGCATCGGCATCGTCTGTCGGAGCTAAAGAAGATGGTTGAGTGGAGGGCGATTGCTGGTCCGTGGTGGCCGCAACTGAAGTCGTCGTCTGAGATCGCGACGAGGGAATAGAATATCGGGGGCCGGATCCAGTCTGCGACGGTTGTGCCTGATTCTGACGTAAGCTGTGTCGCTTCGCAATACTAATGCTCTTGCTCGGTGATCCTGGCTTCGTGAGTTTCGTCTGCGACGAAGATGGAGAGCTTCGATTAGCCGGACTGCCTTGGCTAGTAACCAAAATTGTCGTGAGGCTCTCCTCTTTGCTACCGCGTCGGGATCCAGGGTAGTTCTGGTGGATCTGCCAACCTGCATCTGCCGAACTTCGTCTCGACCCAGCAGGAGCCAGATTCTGTTGAGCGTAGTGGCTTAATTCCTGCAGCTGCGTCAATGCAACGTCTTTACTCGACCGTCTACTAGACCCGCCTGCTGTTGGTGAAAGCTGCAATCCGTTCAGACTTGGCCACAGGTTGGGTGTAGATGAGTGTTTATCTTCATCCAAGGGCACACCGAATTGAAGACGATGTCTTTGATCGCTAGCTGGGTGCTTTGCAGGAGATCCATGGCTGTCTGGCTCGACGTTAGGTTGCCGCCTGATTGGTGAGCTGGGCGTCTGCGGTGTCGAAGTAGGAATGACGACGGGCTCAGATTCCCGTTTGCGCATTCTGGCTTCCTCGACCTGTGAATTTGTCACTGAGCCGTACGTCCTAGGCGACGCTGTTCCCACTCCTTCGTGATCACGGCGCGCCTTTTCGTCAACAATCTTCTGTTCCCATACATCTTTATTGTTCTCAAGCTCGGGAAGCGTGCAGGAGACATTGGGCATCATTTCCGAGATACCACGAAATAGCGGAAACCCGAAGAGATTCATGAAGCCCTTCTGACTCTGTGCCGCGGCAAGCCGGTCTGACTTGTCAGGAGGGCCACCGAAAAGGCATGTCGGGATCTGCAGCTCAGCTTCAAGCTCCCCTTGCCGTGCGAACTCGTTCATGAGCGTCTTCGCCCATTCGGCGGATATGTCGAACGGTCGTGCCACGTTGGATATATCAGCAGCCTTCAGCAAAAGGGCCATTATGAGCTCGCGGGTTTGTGACTTGTCCTTTTCACTCCAGTCTGCCAGTTCCGGCTCACTCTTCTCGACTTTCGCCTTGAGATCGCTCAAATATCCCATGTACTCAAAGTGTCGCTGCATATCGGTAGCCAGTATGGTGGATATCATTGTCGATCTGAAATTTGCGATGCTGCTCACCACCGGCCAATGTCTCCTGAGGAGTTGCGAATACGCAGCACAGTGGTAATTTTCAAGAACAGATTTGTCGTTATACAGTCGGGCCAAGGAGTGATCGCTGGCCACGAGAAACGCATTATTGACACCCGGATGGCCTACATCGTGACCAATCGCTGAGACCAGGAGGACGAGAGCTTCAACGGGTGAGAGAAGTCGTTCCACAGCGTTAGGCTCCTGAGTCGCCTTGACGGGTGTCGAAGCAGACGGCGGGCAGAGCCGCACATCGCAGAGAAAAACGTAAAGCGATTGAGTGACATCGACCGCATGACGCCAGTTATGATAATGCACCTCCCTTTCGTGCCTGTACTCTCTTCTAGCGGCCAAGAGAAAGGTCATCAGATCTGCACGCGGTAGTCGATAAGCTTCCAACGCTGGTGCACGCAGGATGTGTTCGAGCATGGCCAGCGCGGCGTATGTTAGCTCATCCATATCAAATTCATGTGCGGGAAAATGCCATTGGGCGACTGCTGCCTCAATTGCAGCCTTTCGTGGTGCTGACAGAATCTCATCAGGACGATGAGATGCTAGCTTTGGCGTGGTGATGTTCGCAATGTGAGCGACTAATGTGCTTGCCATGCTTGAGCCAAGATTTCTTGCTGATGGGCGAGTGAAGTCCTTCACGCGACCTATCAGCCGATCGATAGAGTGAGAATCGAGTGGACTGCGTATCGTATCAAGCGCACCAGCTTCGGAATAGCTCGACTCCTGCACTTCTCCCGAATCTGAAGAGGAATCCGAGGCAACAAGTACAAATGGCATCACGTGCCTTTGATAGCGACCTGATTGACAGTCTGTTACCAGCGTGCGAAGAAATGTCCATACATCTGTTGATAGAGCATCCGCGACAGCAATTTTGGACTCGACAAGGACGGCTGTGGAGCTCCGCTGATCAAATTCGGCCAAGGTGAGCAGACATTGCTGGAGGTCGGAAGTGACGAAGACTACAGAAATTAGTTTCCGATCGCGCGAGAGCTTACAGACAGTCGGCCTGTCTCACCTTGAGCAAAACTGCCCTGATCGTGGTCCAACAGGCGGCGCACGTTGCTGTAGACGTGTTCTGAAGGCGGCCGAGGAAGTTCATCGCCAGACGACGCTATCGGAGGCGCTGTGGCATTGTAAAGCTCTGACAGAGGCGGGTCAAGACCCGGGCAGTAGTAGACGACTCTACACTGCCCATCGTGGGACTCTTCCATTTGCCGTGCGATGGCGCGCGCAGAATTCGCAGCCGCGGGGGAGTCAGCGATGGACTCCCGCGATGCGACTCGGCGCAGACGTTGCGATATTGGTGGTCAGTGTGTGGTCCACTCTGGCGACGGCGATGGTGAGCAGAGGAGCACACAATGGCTAATCGTGGTTACTTCAGGGAACGGGCGTGGGCGCAGTGTCGAAGCAGGAGCGGCGACATGGGAGCAGGTCGCTCAATGGCAACAACCACGGCGGATTGCAGCAGACAGCAAGTGCTCTTTGCGGCGGTATGTATCGCTGGTGACACGGTCGCTCCCGGGAACAGGTGGTGGATGTGCGAAGTCGCAATTTGCGCGAGGAATGGAGGTCTCGCCGTGGCAGGGCAGGGCAGGGCAGGGCAGGGCAGGGCAAGCGTCGAGTGTCGAGTGTCGAGCGGCGGGTGTCGGGGGTCGAGGGCAGAGGAGGGCAGAGCGAGGACAGGATGAAGGTGGATGGCTGGCTGGCGGGCTGCGTGGGTGGGCGCGAGGATGCGATGCGATGCGATGCGATGTGATGCGATGCGATGCGATCTCACGACAGCGGCGACCAGCAGGCAGTCGTTGCGATACCCATGTTGCTGTTGCCGTTGCCGTCTCGTGGGCCGCTGTGCTGCAGTGCGGTGCGGTGCGGTGCGGTGCGGTGCGGTGCGGTGCGGTGCGTGCGGGAGGGACAATACCACCAGCACTAGTCCTAGTTCTACCACTACTACTGCTAATATAATACTAGGCACATGTAGCTCCTAAGTTACCTAACAAACAAGACTAAGCACGGCTAACAATAGGGCAAATAATATTCGGCTATTACCTATATAATATTTAGCTATTACTAACCTAGAAAGCGTATAGCGCCGGATCCTAGCTCTTAGTGTTCTTGCTATTGTAAATAGCCGTAAATAGCTATTTGCTAAGGGATGCGACGCGTCGCGTCTTTCTTCTATATAGTATATATTAAATCTTTCTATATTTATCGAATTTTAATAGTATAGGGCTATCTAAGGTATTATTATATAATAGAAACCGGGTCTGCCTCGTAGGCTCTTTACGAGTCGTTAATCCTATCGTAGCGTACCGAGAATAGCGAGTTCTTTTAAGATATCGAGGTAGATAAGGGTATTAAAGACTCGCTAGTAGCGGGTAGTAGATTTAATAAGGAAGAAGAGGTAGATCTATCGTAGTTAAATAATAAGGAACAGCGTAAATACGAGCTCGAGAGGCAGGCTAAGAAGGATAATAAGGATAATAAGAAGGCGGAAGCGATCGAGGTCGATAAACAGGTTAATAAACCTACTATCCGACAGTTAGTAGAAGAGGCTTCTTAGCAGCTAGATGCTAATACTAGCGAGTCTAATAATAAGTACGTCGCGCTACTGTCTAATCTACTAAAGGATAGCTATCTATCCGAGGATGCCGCTATAGTAGCCGTTTAGGACTATACTATAAGGGCTAGTTATTACTAGTATATTTAAGCTAGAAACAAGTTAAAGGTAGCTTAGAATGCTAGACTCTAGGTCTCTCGGTACCTAATCTATAACTAGGGTAGTAAACTATTAGATTCTTCGAAAAACCTAAAGCGTCCGACTACTACGTTAAACCGGAAGCTCTGTCTAGTGTCGTTAATAATAAAGGCCTATAACTCGAAGAATCCGACTAGTAGGTAGGTTATTAGTAAGGCTAAGGGCACCTACAACTATAAGGCTACTACTGCTACCGATTTCGCGGTATATCGACGTAGGTAACGTAACGAGGCGATACGGAAGGCGATAGTCGATAACTTAAACGCTAATACAAGTATATATACGACGTTATTGCGGTTAATAAACAAGAAGGATTGTAAGTCGCGAGTTATTGTCTACCGGCCGAGCCTCGGCCGATAGCGCTAATAGCAGTCGCGTTTCTTAATCGTAGCATAACACTAATAACAACACTTTCTAATAGGTATACAACTAGTATAGGACGTCTATAATGTTAGGACCTTCGCTTAGAAGGCCGCGTAAGGTTCTATAACCGCAGTAGAAGCGCTTTTTAAGCAGCTACGTAACCTAAGTTTCTACTTCGAGAACTAGGTTAATCCGGATACGAACAAACTCGACAAATTGCTAGTAATCTACCCTTAAATAGCAGAGCTCTATAAGCAGTATCCTAAGTACCTAATTATCGACAATATATACAAAACTAACCGCTACAATCGACCGCTTTTAAACATTATAGTAGGCACTAGCGCAGGAGATACAATCCCTTTAGGATACTATATTATAGGTAATAAGGACGAAGCGGCGTTTACCTAGTTTGCTAAGGCCTTCTAGCGGATATCTATACGCTATAACCTCCCTTAGCCTAGCCTATAGGTTACTAACCGAGACCGTAGTTATATAAATGCCCTTAATAAGATATACCCTTAAACACCGGCTCTTATCTGCGCCTAGCACGTATTTAAGAACATATAGGCTTAGGCTCGGAAGCTAATGCTATAGAAGCAGGTTATTAATAAGGAAACAGGCAAGAACGAGTAGTAAGACGATCTAGACTGCACTGCCTTCGTAGACAACTTCCGTGCCTGTATCTATACTAAAACAGTAGAAGAATTCAACTTAAAAGATACCTTCCTTAGTAACTACGAGAACCCTTACTTCCGCACGCTTTAGGAGTATATTTAGCGTAAATACTAGAGCTATAAGGAAAAGCTAGTATACTGCTTCTAGCAAACTAAGTTTCCATTCTATAGCCAATCCGTTACATCTCGAGCTAAAGGCGCTCACTTAACTATAAAGAGGTAGCTTACTAGTAGGCGCTATAATATCCTTACCCTCTTTCTTAAACTAAAGCTATAGTAGACTATTCGCTATATAGAGATAACTGCAAAGATCTCTCGAGAGCGGACAGGCGTACCTAGCTATCTACGTCGACCTAAGTTTGCTAATATGAACCTAAAGATACACCGTAAGGGCTTATAGAAGGGCCTTAACTAACTAAAGTTAGTATACGACGAGATTGCTAAGCTAGTAAAGGAGCCTAGCAAACAGCGCTCTTAGTGCTTAGGCTGCTTTCGGAAGGCATAGGGTATCGTTTGTAAGTATATAATAATCGATACTATTAAGTTAACTAGATCCTTCGAATTCGACCCCTATATATACTTCGATAGGCACTAGTATATCGACAAAGCCGCGGCGCTAGTAAGGGCTATTATTAAGCTTAAGAGACTAGTTTAAGAGCTATTAGTATTGCTAAACAACCGCCGTAGAAGAGGTAGAAGAGGTAGAGCGGCACCTACTAGAAGATACGTACGTACTAACTAACGAGAGGCTTCTAGCTTCGAATACGTAGATTAGTTAAACCTAGCTTCTTAAAGAGGCCGTAGAAGGCGTACGAGGGCATCTATATAACCTCGTACGGTAATACAACAACTACGACCTTCAGCTCCGCTAGTCTATACGCCTACTAAGCGCTACGGCTTTGTTAGCAACGATCTAGCTAGTATTTAAAGAGCTACTATAGCACTTAATCGACAACGTTTAATAGCGCTAGTACCGCTAGTAGTGCCTTACTTAGAGCGACAGTTTGTCTAGTTCTATAGCAGTTAATCTGTACTACCGCAGGCTGTAGGTCCGCTAGCAGCGACATAATATACTATATTTGACTATCTACTACTATTAAATTAATAGGTCTTTACTTAGTAATAGTATATACTAGGTTCTATAGGTCTACTACTATTAAATTAACAGGTATTTACTTAGCAATAGCATGTGCTAGGTTCTATAGGTCTACTACTATCTATAGCTCTACTCCGCGGAGGTTAGTAGTAGTAGTAAGGTCTATAGTAGTAGCAGCTAGTTCTATACCCTCGTAGTTATTAGTATGCCGGCTATAGCAACTAGTTCTAGCAGTCTTATGTATCTACACGCGTTGAGGGCCTCTTAAAATGCCTCCTTCTTAACTATAATCGTTACTAATTCGAGGTAGGTTGTAGTTTGCTACCCGAGATTCGCATAGAGAGGGAAAACAGCGAGTTGTATACTGTAAATCGTCCGTGCGCACTCCTAACCGGAACTGGACGTACTATGGGTCAGCAATGGCCAAATATTATATGGGCAATGGCCGAATATTATTTGCCAACGACAGCAGTGCTGCTGGGCAGTAGTAGTGGGCGGAGCGATAAGCCTCGTGCAGCTATGACACTTTTCGAGAAGAAGCGTAGAAGCTTGAGAAGTTCTAGAGCTAAGAGTGGAGAGTGGCGCCGGCGCCGGCTGCGCCTGCTGCAATTGGTTGGCCTGCCGCCTCGCCTGACGGAAGATGTCGATCAGATGTAGAGCTCCTTCTCATCAGCATCCAGCAGTGATTCTCACTCTCACTTAGAGATGTAGACTCACGGTGTATTTAATTTCCGGGCTTATGAACACGGTGTTCACTATATGAACATACACGAGACACAGATTGGTCAGCAAGTGGATCCAGTTATTATAGCGTATCCTATACAAAGTAGAACAATGAAGGAAATAAGACATGTAGAAGGTATATAGTGACAATCTTGGTATAGACAACAGCCCTACTGGCTGTTACTGTCGGCAGTGAGGTCGATAGCGTTGTTGCCGCTATCTTCGTCTATATTGTCGCCGCTATTGCGAGTGTATTCAAAGTCGCCTTGTAGCTTGAATACCTCCTTCAGTATGTCCTGTAGATCTACATAACTGTCGTCTATAAGCCTGTCGTCGTCTAGTCGATACTTGATGCGTAGATTCCAGTAGATGAACGCGAACAAACACGCCCTCGAGGTAGTACGGACCGGGGCATAAAAAAATCTCTGCAGCGCCAGTGCCTCGAGAACCCGGCTAGGGCGGCAAACCAGCTATTCCAGCCATTCCAGCCACTTATCTAAGTGATTATTACTAATCTTATATTCACCTACGTGTTCATAAGACACGCGCTAAGGTGGTCTGTGTTCACCGTGTAATAACGGTGATGTTCACGGCTGTGCCATTGTGTACAACATCTCTACTCTCACTCCATTCACTACATGTAACACAGTACATATGACACTTGCATCCATGTCTCCCCCAAGCTTGCACCTCCCTTCACTTTGAGCCGCACCGCACCGAACCGCACCGCACCCCGCCCATTCGAACAATCACACTGACACTCACTCTACCCACCTGCACACCTCCATAGCACGCCGCTCCCAGCCCACAGAACTGCTGCTCGCGTGCGCTCATGTGTAGCTCGAATCCATGTACCTCACGTCGCCTGCCGGCACTGCTCTGCTCTGATTCTTCCGCACACCACCAGCTGCAAGTCGGACCAGCTCTACGATGCCCATGTCGCCATTCTACGCCCGCCGGTCTGCCTGCCTTGCAAGTGGCGACCGCTCGCTTTCACGCTTGTCAGTTCAGGTATGACCGCTGAGTCTGTAAACTTATGCTACAAGGGAGCTGCGCAGGTCTTGCTTGACGAATCTGGCGAATATCACTCACCACGAGCGGCTCCGGCAGCCTGGAATCGGCCTGGGCCACTGCGATGGGGTCAGGTGGCACCATTAATCTATATGCCGCAATCGTCCATCAAGCCACACCTTTGGAAAGACGCTAGAACGAGTCTACCTCCGAAGCAGCAACCTTCCCGGCATTGAACGCTATACTGTAATTGCTGGCACGGTATGCAGTACGCTCCCAAAACGTGAGTGTTAGCATCTGCCATTAGAATGGTTGAGGGTGGCGACCGACAAGCTGCGATGTGCTCCGCGCCGCCGAAGTTCTGGCGGCAGCACGCTACACGAAGCCTTGGCCGCCGACCGACGACCGTCGTCCTCTTTCTTCCGTCAACAACATCACTGACTTAATCTATCTCGATGATGCGGTCAAAGCGTCCTGCTGCCAACTGCACGCGAGACACCATTCGCGACCCATGCCTGCCTGCCGCTTGAAGGTCATCGTTGCCAGGCTGCATAAATGATGAGAATTCGATGCGGCACTTGTTCTTGCACAGGAAATGCCGAGCATCCAATCTCGACGCACTGCCGATACCCATATATAAAATCAGTGACCACCCAAAATTTGGCTCAATGCGGCAGGACTGAGAATCTTAGGCGTGAGAAGTAGCCATGTTCGGGCTAAGGGAAATCCACAGCCCCAGTCTCTTGATGTTGTGCACATCCAAGATCAGAAGTATGGTCATAGGCCACCTAAATTCTTCATGTTGGCTCTCTGGCTGTCACGGACGAGACTTCTCTTTGCCTCACATGCATTTGCAGCGTCGTGTGTATGCTCAGTAGACGTTGCTTCTTCGCAGGATACAGCTGACTGCATATGAATGTCAACAAGTCTTGGGGATCAGGGCTGGGCAAGAGCCTGGGCTCATGCCAAGGGACAGAGCACCTAAGATTGCCCGGGCGGGTACTGTGAAGGGAAGCCTGCGTCTGAAGAAATGGGCTCCCTTCACAGCCTAAAATGTTGGGTCGGCAAGGATACTGATGTACCGCGAAGCTACAGTACTTTGTTCGTATCGCAGTTTCATCAGTTTCAGACCGCTCCCAGAACGACAATCTCCCTACGTCATGTTTGATTCGCGAAGATACAGCATAGGCACCTTCGCCAGGTCATAGCTCTCGGAAGCGCCGTGAATACGACGCTGATCACAAGCCGAAATTTTGCCATGATAGTCAACACTGCATCGACTGCCGCCTTCAGCACTGTAATGCCTGATGGCACAGTAGGTCCTGCTCGTTCGACAGTCCAGTCCTAATGCGCGTTGGTGTCATCTTGTTCATCATCCTCTGCATCAGTATGTTCTGCATCAGTATGTTCTGCGTCGGTATGCTGATCGCTGGCGGCTTCGCTGTCGTCCGCGAAATCGTCAAAGAATACTCGGCTTTGTCGGACAAGTTCCTCCATGACGCCGCTATTGCGTCTAGTATCGACGGACGGCGACCGCGCAGGGAGTTCTCTCCGACTAGGTCTGACAGTCTCGGAACTTGTGCGAGGCGTAGGAGTTTGCAGCGAGCCCCAAAAGTTCGACATGCGTTTTGTGAAAGATGGCGAGTCTTGACGCTGGGGCAATGGCCGCCAAGCGGGTTGCTCACGCTCAACGGCCGGCGACAAAAGTCGTTCGGGCACTTCGACAATCCCGTTACTGGCGCGCGCTTTCTCAAGAAGACCTTCCAAATCTTCTTCACTGAGGACGCTACGGAGTCGAGCTTGTGGACGTTCCATAGGAGTTGGTGGTAGGACTTGCCCTTCGGGAGGTCGGTATGCCTCTCGGGCTTGTTCAATAATACGTTCGATAGCCATACGATTGGCAACGAACTTGAGCTTGGGCCATGCAGCTAGCTGGCCAGCGCGGATCATCCCAGCAAGTCGCTGCATTGTAGGGTCGGAGAGGATATGCCAGAAGTCAGATATCTTGGTTTTGGGCCAGATGGTGATGGTGCCGCTGAAGCGTTGTAAGAACACCTCACTCCAGTCTTGCCCAAGCGGTCTCGGAAGTAGCTCCAGATGTCGCAGCACTTTCAGCCACTTATTCAGATCGAGCTTGATGAACTGCTCAATAGCAGAGCCAAGGAAGCCACCGCGCCATCCACGCCCTCTTCGGTGCGTTACAGGCCGGCCCACTGTGCCACGCGAGGAGAAGAACCACAAAGACACGTGTGGATTGACTTGTGAGACAATACTGAAGTTGACGTTGAAATGCAGGTTCAAGCTTTTGAGCGGAATGTCGGTTCGCAGAGATCCATCCTTCCATTTGTGTCCAAACGAGAACGGCTCAAGGCTGCCGTGGGAATTCTTGCGCATGAGTACGACAGGGTTGAGTATTCCAGGCACTGCAGCAGACGCAAGGACTGCAGACCAGATAACACAGTCAGGCGCGGTAAGATAATTCACCAGCATGCTGGGGGAATGCGGATCCGATGGGACACAAGTGACGTTGAGGATACGTCCTGTGCGCTGGTATGCCTCAAGAAAGGTCAAGCTGCCATGGCAGAACCAGGCACATCGCTTGGCCCAGTCGACCGAGTCGAAGCGGGCTCCAGTCCGCCACCATCGCAAGAACCATGTCTTAAAGTCATCGTGGCAAGCAGTGATGCGGGAGGCCAGCGCCGGTACAAGCAGCTCTTTCAATTCTGCATCGGTGCGTGTTGCGAGTAGAGCAGCCACCAGAGCTCCGCCAGAAGTCCCTGTGATGATAGCTGGCAACAAATCGGCATCTAGCAGAGCTTTGGCTATGCCGAAATGGTAGTACGCAAACGTTGCGCCGCCACTCAGGCATAAGGCCGAGCGTCCCAAATTGGCTGAAAAGTGCTTAGATAAGCTCCGCTTGTCGGCTTGGGTGAGTTGATTGCTTGCAAAGAGGAATTTGAGAGACTCTGCCGTTTCGTCGATGTAAGTCTGAAGAAGTGACTTAGTCCCATAGTAAGTTTCGGAGTACAGACGAGGATTCTCTATGCCGGCGAAGTTATTCTTGACACACGTCTCCAGCACAGAGCGCAGCTCATCAATGGCCCTGCGGTCTTCGCGTGCAGTGCGCCGTGCTTGACGGCGCTCATCTTGCTCTGCTTCTGCCCGTAACCTCCGTACTTCCCTAACGATTCGCCGTATCGTTTTCCAATCATAGTACGAGCCTTCATCATCATCCTTCCAAGCATCGTTGCCCAGATGGCGGTCAAGGTTCTCAGCAGCCTTCACCCAATCTTCATAATTGTCCTGAATTCTTAAAGTCTTCCGCAAGCGATCGCGAGTACCCCTCCAGGTCACGTATTGCTCGTATAGCCATATGTAGAATCTGGTAAGGAGATAGCAGATGCCCAGAAAGGTGATCCAGCCGAAGACGAAGAACAGCAGCGGGTACTTGACCAAAGAATAAGTCCAGCCCTCCCTGACTTCGTCTCTGCCCCTTCTCGACTTCTTGCCTGCCCTGCCTTTTTTCCCAGAGGCGCTTGACCCCGATCGTCTGACCTTTCGCTGCCGTACAGGCCGCCAGTCGTTCAGGGCGGTGATGAACTCCGCGGCATTCGGCGGGTTCTTGCGAAGAGTGGCGGCGAGGTCCTCCTCTGACGGCGATGCAGTCAGATTCTCGGGGGCTGCCAACGCTGACTGAAATGCCGAGAAATCCTCGTCATCAACGAAGTCGTTGTCCCAGTCCGGCAGACGGTGAGGGTCGAAGGCGTGGGGATTGCTCACTGATGGTCCATCTGTTGACTTCTTCTTGTCCATACTGCCTTACCAGACGAAATAGATCAAGTCATATTCGCTTTCTCACATATAGCCTCATCGGAAGGGGGGAACAGAGAGCAGAGACAGAGGGAGGAGGGAGAAGACTGGCGGACTCGCGGGCCATCACATGCGGACGGGTTCTCAACGCTGGAGCGCGATGCACGCGCCCTGGCTTGGTGACGCAAGAGCGGGACGTGCCGATTTTGACGGGTCGGCTCTTTGACAGCCAGGTTGGCCCTGGTCAGTTGTCCGATGGTTTAGCAGGCGAGGTCTTCCGCTCGACTACCTCCGTTCAGGCCTTTGTGCATTAAGGATTACGTTCCGCGGTGGTGAATTGGTCAGATTGCACGTGATAGATTTAAATAAATTAGGGCTAGCTTCCGTCTTTCCGAACAACTAATTACATACTACTCTACCTAATCCTTCGCCTAAAGGCCTAAAGCTAAACCGCTAATTTTTATCGTAGACTCCGCTATCAAACTACTATCTCGCAGCGATACCAACTATCGGCATATCTAACACGCTGAGATTGTAGCGCTGCTAATTGCGAATTAGAATATCTAAAAATCTCGTATATGCGACGTATATACGTTAAGTTATACTAAATCCCGCAAGGCGACTTTATTTATAGCTATCCGCTACTAGCGCACCTAATATACACCGAAACAATAACTCCTGAATCTCGCGTACCTAACACTTGGAGGTCCTTAATTAGAGCCTTCCGACTAACTTATTTGCTATAAGCAACTGCGTACGACTTCTTACTATTAAGTTCTCGTCGAGGCGGGAGATAGAGGCTATAACGACCTCCTTTAATCTTAACCGAACTAACTCGAGGCCCTTCGTAGAGTACTTCTCAATTACTTTAATAAGACACTCGAGTGCCTACGGTGTAATAGTGCTAAGTTCTCGTTACTCCGGCGACGCTATTTACTAGCGGCTTAGAAGGCACTAGATTTATTACCCCTAATACACTCGAAACCTCCGCGAGCTCGTAGACCTAGTATTTCCGACCAATATTGCTATAAACACCGTGCTCGTACGACACCGCATTGTTAAGATATAGCTAAATAGCAGACGCGACTTTAGCTAGCTACTCGAGTCGACATTTCGAATACTAATTAATACCCGCGATACTAATTAATATAAGCGGCTCCGACTTGACTAATTAAGCTAACACTTCCGAGCTCAATCGTCGTAGCGGAGATAATTAGTATAGCTCTTCTTATCTAATAGAAGCGCTACTAATATCTAAACTAGACCGTCGTAGCGAAGAAGATATCGGCCTACTACCTCGACTAGACGATAAAGACGAGGAAATGCCTACTCTAGAAGACCTACCGCTGCTAGGAGAGACTTCCGATATACTAGGCCCTTTATCCGATCTGCTAGGTCCTATATTCGCTAGTACATTCGCCGGTCTAGCACTCGATAAAGATCGCCGCCGCTAGCGCTAGTACTATAGCGACTACTATAACTCTAAGAACATGCTAGGCGATAAGGACCGCTTAGCTACTCGCCGCTAGCCTACTCGCCTTTAGCCTGCTCGCCTTTAGCCTACTAAAGAGCGCGCTACTCCTCGCCGCCTACGAACCGCTAATCGCAACATTATATATAATTAGCTAGTTGATAATAGTCTAACTAAGGATAAGGATGCTAATATAGATAAAAAGCCGTAGAGCGAGGGCGAACTAGAGCGTAAGCGCCGTACTAGCAATGCCTCCGATAATAACGATTAGCCTATTTAGCATCCTAGTAAGCGCGGCCTCGATAAGATAAACGACGAGGAAGAGGGCGAACTCGAGCCTACTAGCAATCGTAGTCCGCGCCGTATACTAAAGCAGAAGTACGCCCTCGCTATAAAGCACCTTACTTAGCTTAAATTACCGATAGAGAAGATATTGTTTATATAGTTTAGCAATAAGGGCACTAAGACCTATCGTAAGCGGGTATAGGCTATATAAGACATACTGCCTAATAAGCATCTTATTAGTGCTGTCTAGCTGCGAGCTAAGGTTAAGAACTTAATTAGCAAGAAGTTCTTTAATGTATATAAGCTAGAAGAGAGCCTTGCTGCACTACGCCGCCTCTCCGAGATATATAATGTAATCTATAGTATTGTACCGAATTGGTACCGCCTGCTCGAGGACTTTATACTACCGAATACCCGCAAGGACACTATATAGCGAGCAATATTATTCGAGGATAAGCGTAACATAATATAGAAGCGTATCTGCATAATTACGTATATAGTAGTGTATTCGATGGCGATAAAGCGAGCCTCCTAGATACTAAAGTCGCTTAGTCTGCTCTTAGTATATGTTAGCAATCTACTAGCTCCGCTTATCGACACCCTATATAGTATAGGTCTGCTTCCTTCGTATAGGACTATTTAGGCGTTAATTAAGAAGAATGCTAACACCTAGCGGCTAAGGATCCTCGAGTAGGCAAAGCTGTATATTTAGTAGCTCTACTACGACAACTTTAACCGCTAGGCAAAGCGTAAGGATTAAGATATTGCAGACAATAATAAATAGGTCAACATTACTAATTCGTATATCGCCCTATATAATAATCTTCTAGAGGGCGGCTTAATATAGGACATACTAGACCGGTCTAAGCTAGTACTAACTAAGAACATTATCTATAACATCGATAATAATAATACTATCGAGGCAGTCGAGATGCACTAGCTCTACGAAGCCTATATATATGTATTCGGTAATGCGATTAAGGCGGTATTTAAAGTAGCTAAGGATAGAGGCTATCTAGTCTAGTAGCTAGAGTATCCGGAAATCGACTGCAGCTTTAAAGGCAAGACCTAGTTGCTAGCTATACCTCTATTATAGAACGACGAGATCTCTAATAAGGGCACTGCCTTAGTATACGACGACATCTACTAAAGCAACCTTGGCCTAAAGCCTAATAATCCGATATTCGACAATCGATTAATTATTAATATTAGTAATTAGCTTACGATCGAGCGCATACTATCTATAATCTTTAGCGGTGTCGAGAACAAGGCGGTATACGATAAGAAGCAGCATGTCCTTCTAGTGCCTGCTTAGTTCTACATCTTTATAAACCTATGCTTTACGCCTTTCCGTATCTACTAGAACAAGAATAAGGCTAGTAAACGCTTAGACTTCTCTCTATTATCTAATGTCAACTTCTAGGGCATAAAGGAGGTTGATCCCAAATCACTAAAGTTCTTCCGTATGCAGAGACTACTTAAGCGTTGTTTCAATGCTCGAGTTATCGCTATGCTACTCTAGATTATAGTCAACCGTAGCTATATCACCGAGGACATTGTTAGAACAGGCTAAGGTAATCAAACTCGCCCCGAGGTTGTTAAGCAGGCTATTATCGAGAAGATTACTACCGCTAAGTATATAGATATCTTAAAGGAAATGCATAAGCTGCTCTTGTCGCTAGAGGCATAGGATAGTATACCTAATCGACTAGCTACTGCTGCTACCGACGGCGCGGCACTAAATAGACTAGATGCGGCCTTTACTTCGATATATAGACTACTAAAAGAGATCTCCTTGTTTATACGTATTCGCTATGCCGTCCGTATATAGGATGTCGGTTATCTCCGTCGGTGCGTAGATTACACTATTCTAATGTTCCTCGGTGCTAGACAGAGCAATTATAGCCGCCTAATAACCTACTTCCATTTCCTATTAAATAAAGGTAGTACAGCGGAGCTACAGAAGGCAGTTCTCGCTACTAGAACAGTTAATTAATCTAGAAAGAAGGGCTATACTGTCGGTAGTAATAAGATGATTGAGCTAATTAACTACGCACTCTCGGAGGATTACAAGCGCCTTACTAACTCGACTTATAGACTTGCTGCCGCCTTTAAGCGAGTATTAATAAATAGGGAGCTATCCCGTCTTATCCGGGATATATTCAAGGAGAATTCTAGTGTCTATCGAACTAGCTATTACACCGAAAAGGACATTAGCGTAGGCGTGTTCAATCGAGCCGACAAGATCCGTATCGATAGCTTTACGAAGTAGCAGTATAGAAGCTTTACGCTGTTAGACGATATCTAGAACATTAGCGCAGATCAGATACTAGCGGTCGTTAAGAACTTCAATACTACTAATCAGAACTTTATGCGAGGCCGTACTACTGTACTGCAATCCGATGCCTTAGACGGTCCTAATGCTACGGAGCGCCTCGAGGGTGTTAATTATAGTCCAATCGAGGAGGTAGTACTTAATCTAGATCGAGACGATATGTAGGTTTAGCTAGCAGATAGTACTGCTTAGCTCTTCGAGAGCGTTAAGAGCTAGGACCTAACTAGAGCTAGAGCTAGAGCTAGAGCTAGAGTTGAGGGAATAGACATAGGCCTTTTAGTACGTATAGGTAGCCTCGGCGATAACGGCGGCAGTAACTTCTAAAGCAATAGAGCATAGCATTCGATAGATATTAATGCGCATAGCTTAATTAAGGATATACTTTATAGTTCCTAACTAGTAGTATACGTGAATCTCCGTCTATCCGTCTATCTATCTATCTATCTATCCTATACATTCTGCTTACCTAAGGTTTCCGTCGTTATCGTGTTAATCACTTTTACTAGCGCTAATTGCTAGAAACGCGCTTAATCGACGTATCTCGTGCTAACTAACTAACTAGCTAACTAGCTAACTAGCTAACTAGCTGACTAGCTAACTAGCTAACTAGCTAGCCGGCTAGCTCTAGGAAGGTCGTAGAAAGATAACTCTAGTAAGTTGTTTGCTAAAGTTAACTAGATAGGCGTCCTTCTAGCTAGCTATACTCGACCTAGGGCCTATTTAGTAGGATTCGGCCCTGCTTAGGACGACGGAGCGGCCTTAGGCACAATCACATGCTAGCGTCTAGTAAATAATGTCGCTCTTGCCGTAAAGGAGCGGGTTAGTTAGTAAGGTGATGTATAGCCGTTATTGCTACCTATTGTCGACTACGTAGCTTAACCTTACCTGCGTAGATAGACCTTCGCTTTCTAACTTCCACTTCTTCTTCTTCTTTACATTAACTATACTGTGTACCGGT